TACAAGAAGCCTTTGATGTCACATAAAATAACTCATGTTGCTTTATTCTTCTTTTCCAAATTCAAATTCCTTTGTCTTTTCATATACATTTTAGAATATGAAATCTGCCTGGAATCACAAAAGAATTGCACTGGACCTGGTTATCAGCTGGGGAAGAATTCACATTTTTCTGTGGGTATTGAGCCTCCAACATGACCACCGCCAGTCCCTCCACTTACTGGTACTTTCTCTGATTTCTTTCATCCCTACATTATAGTTTTCGACAAGGGCTGGTTTTTACCAGAGACTTATGAACAAATGGTATTGAATTAATAATTGATGGTCTGATAAATAGAATTTTATTTTCCATTTATCATAATAGTATCTTCCCATCTTGCATAGATTTAAGTGGGAAAATGGGAATTGCTTGAAGCAAGAATATTAAACAGAAAGTAGTGGTTGGGGCTAAGACATTGTGACACGGCGTGAGAGGTCCTGTTGTGGGTCCTGGATGCTCCACCAACATGGCCACACGGGCCTTCCACGCTTCAGCTCACACAGATCACATAGGACTTGAGAGGCAGAGCTGGGGCACACACCTAGGCCACCTTCCCAGGGCCCCTGACCCCACCTCTCAGGAAACAGTAGCACCAGAGAGGGCATGAGAGTGCCAAGAAGGAGCAGAAGGAAGACAGATAACGCTGCTGCTCCGCTGCTATGCAGAACTCGGTCACCAGAGCCGAGCGCTGGCACTCACGCCTGCCATCCTAGCCCAGATGTGAGAATTATGGTTTAAAGCCAGAAATGGGCAGATACGTCTGTGAGACTCTTATCTCCAACCAACCAGCAAAATACCAGAGTAGACGGGATGGTTCAAGTGGCAGAATGCCAGCCATGAGCAAGAAAGCTGAGCAAGTATGAGGGCCTGAGTTCAATCACTGGTACCAACACAAGAAGCAGGAGGAAGGAGGAGGAGGAGGAGGAGGAAAAAGAAGAGGGGGAGGAGGAACAGGAGGAGGAAGAAGAAGGAGGAGGAGGAGGAAGAGGAGGAGGAGGAGGAGAAAGAAGAGGGGGAGGAGGAGGAAGAGGTGGAGGAGAAAGTGGAGGAAGACGAGGACGAGGTTGAGGAGAAGGAGAAGAGGGAGGAGGACAAAGAGGATGTGGAGGAGGAGGAGAGGCCGTTCTGGCGTGGAATCATGTGCTAGGGTTTGTGGGCCGGTGCCCTGCACACGCCAGCATCTTACCATGCTCACCCAGCTGCTGTCCATGCGGCCATTCCAGTTAGCTGTTCTGTACATGGCCTCGTCCAATTTAATAAAAATCTCTCCCTCCCAACGAGGTGGCTCATGATGTCACCTCCCTGGGGAAAGCTGGGAAAATGACCTTGCATCTCCTAAAAGGGAAGGATTAATTTTTATGAGCTGCCCCTGCTAATGAGTGTTTAGACAGAGCCAGACGATCAATAATAGTTCGAGGGGGATGCAAATCTTACTCACGGAGTTGAGAAAACATGTCACTTCCCCATAAATGGCTGTATATCTCCATGAAGGCCTGTTGACTGGCACTGGGCAGCCAGGAGCACCAGCGGGGGGGGGGTGGGGGGCAGGAGTGCAGCAGGCCCTGCGGCCCTGTCTGATGTCCCACTCCACCCCCCACCCCCGTGGGATCCATGAGCCTGTCACCCACTGGCGGATGCCACAACTCCCAGATGCCTCACCTCGAGACAGAGCCTGGCACTCAGTACCCCAAGTGAGCCCTCAAAGCATTGAGAAGCAAAGAAGGACCCACACGATGAAACACAGCTCTTGTGCCAGCAACACGCATGGGAACCACACCTTAACACCAACCTAGGGACCACCAGTGTCTCTCCAGAGCATGTCTCCCTCTTCGGCGAGATGCTTCCTCCCATCCTCATCCACAGCCCCCGTCCATGGGGGACACCTCCCAAGACCCCCCCAGAGAACATCTTAGGCCACACACAGTGTGCTGTAAGCTGTCACTCCCCAAACCCACTGATTCAACCAACTGTGACTCACAAGGAGTGTGGGGAAGAACGGGTTCAGGACCTACACGAATGGGGTTCGCTCCATCCTCATTCTCTCAGAATGCGGGGAGCCTTCCTCGCGTCCGCGTCCCGGGAGTGGGTCTCACAGCTGATCAGAGCCGCAGGGAGGCTGCGTGGAGGTCACGTGCAAATTCTCCCTGTGCTGTTTCAGGTAAGGGCCTGGTGCATCCGAGGGGGTGCGGGGACCCCATCCCCTTGAATATCAAGGAACGACATCTCTACCCCTAAAATCCATGTGTCCAACAGGCAATGATGGGATAATGGTAGGAGATTAACGATGATAGCCAATGATCAGGTAGCACAAGAACACAAGAACACACTGTAATAGAAGTTATGCCAATGTTCCCTCGGTGTCTCTCTCTCTCATACACCACACACACACACACACACACACACACATGCACACATGGTATTCTATGGAATTTCCATGCTTAACGTCAGCCTTTAGCCTGTGTAAATAGTGGCTACTCTCACACTCTGGGGCCTTTGGTGATCCCAGCTCTCAGGGGCTGTGACCCACTGTGTTAGCATGACAACTGACCAGGGCAAGTGACTGGTGGGGGGCGGGGGGAGGGGCGCTGAAGATGGAGTGGACACAGCCCCGCCTTGACCTTCACCTGTCAAGCACCACTCCGGACTCTCTTAGCCTGCACCTCAGAGCTGGGAACAGAACCTGGACAGATGGGAAGGCATCTGGGAGGGGCGGACCTGCTCCTTGGGCCTTTCATCGCAGCAAGGAACGGCGGCCATCACCAACTCCAGTTTGGGAGGCCAACGTGTGCCTCATGGAATCCCAGGGTATGTGTGTGTGTGTGTGTGTGTGTGTGTGTGTGTGTGTGTGTGTGTCTGTCTGTCTGTCTGTCTGTCTGTCTCTGTCTGTCTGTCTGTCTGTCTGTCTGTCTGTACTGGGGCTTGGATTCAGGGCTTCACACTCTCCGTTGGCTTTTTCCCTCAAGCTTGGTGCTCTACCGCTGGAGCCACAGCTCCACTTTCAGCTTTTTGGTTGTTAATTGGAGATATGAGGTTCACAGATTTTCCTGCCCAGACTGACGTAGAGATCTCAGCCTCCTGAGAAAAGAACTCAAGCTCCCGCAGGGAGCTGGCAACACTGCATGCGCTGGGATCGAGATCTTTCCAGGTGCTGATCTGGAAAATCATTTCTTCCAAGAACAGCCTGCTGTGTGGCCCTGGGTACATTCCTGCGCGTCTCTGAACTGCAGTTCCCACTGAGTTAACAGCAAGAAACCAGGCCAGTCTCTGAGATCTTTGCAGGGGTTCAGAGCTATGAGATGTCATTAAGGACCTTGCCTCTGCGCCAGGACAAGATCCGGGAGTGTCTCCTGGCTCCCATTTTCAATGTGAGCAGATCCAGACTTCCAAGATCCATCTCACCAGGTCCCATTGACAAGTCCCATCAGCCTCCAGGGCCCATGGAGCCCTGCCCCCCCCACCCCGCAGGCACTGGCCAGGAGACAGGGGAGGGGGCGGCCCCCAGGCTGGTATGAAAGCTGCCTGCCACCCTGCCAGTGTGTCCTCCCTGGCAGCTGGCCGTGCCAAGCAGCCCAAGCAGCCCTGCCCAGACTGCACGAGGAGCTGGTCACGGCCTGCCAGGCCCGCTGAGCCCTCTCCCCCCACCCCCCGCCTGTTTCTCATTTAGAGCAAGCCCCGGCTACAGCCCAGACATTCCAGAAGGGACAGTCAGACGCCAACCCACCCAAGGCCTGGGAAGCCAGGCTGCAGGCCGCCCATGGTCAGAGCTAGGTGCTTTCCCTCGCTTCCATGTATGAAAAGTCACTGAACCCCCAGAGGAGCTGGCTCTGCCCTTCTTGGGACCCAGAGAGACAGAATGGACCCCCATGGATGGGCCTCATCCATCAGCAATAAAGCAAGTCTCCTGCTGACCAGCCCAGCCTCTACCGGCCATCCTCCTTCCTGACCTTGCTCGGGCTGGTCTCTACCTCTGCCTGGCCCCTGCTCCCCGGCAGGAATCTAAGGCCTCCCGGTGGAGGACACACTGGAACCTCCAATCACTACTAATTAGGTGTCAGCTGAGCCCTGCCCCCCTGCCAGGGCAGGTAGGGTCCCCCCTACTAGCCGCCCCTCCGAGGACCCTGCCCTTCACACAGCTTGAGTGAGTTAATTATAGATTCCTGCCTAATGACATAAGTAGCATCCCTGAATTCCACCAAAGTGACAATTTGCCATCCACAGAAAGCCAGCTGCCAGGGCTGCTCGCAGGCCGGCTGGGTACCCAGGCACGGAGCTCCCGGTTCTCCCAGCCCCGCCCTCCACCTCCTGACCAGCACCTGGATTATGCTTGCTTGGCTTGCTAGTCAAAATACATTCTTTCTCCTGTCAGGACTGCCATTTCAGCCCCAAAGGTAGAACCTGTGCTTTTTTTTTTTGCTCTCTCTCTCTGTCTGTCTCTTTCTCTCTCTTGCTTGCTCTCTCTCACTCTCTCTCTCCCCCCCCCCTCTTCTTTCTTTATGATTTATGAGTCCTGGTGAATGGAATCAAGGACTTTAGGAAATCATTCCAGTGGATGGTTCCTGGAAAATATTAAAAATAGAATTATGCCGCGATACAGCAAGCGCAGGGTTGGAACCAGGTATCTGTACACTCAGGAGAGCCAAGGCAGGGAGCAACCAAGAATTCCTGTGCAGAGAAATGGATTAAAAGAGGCTGATCTGTGTGTTCGGCAGAATATTACTCAGCCTTGAAGAGGAGGGACACTGTGACACCTGAGACCACGTAAATGAAGCTGGAGCCCGCAGAGTGACGGGAAGAAGCTGGTCCCACAAAGATCTGTGCTGCCCGGTTCCACCCTCGTGAGCTCCTGAGCTCAAACTCGGGACAGGGTTGAGGAGAGGAGGGAGTTTCATGCTTAAATAGGTACAGAATTTCAGTTTAGGAAGATGGAAAGTTCTGGAAATGGATGCCGGCCACGGTTGCTTACCTGTGTGAAGGGCTCCCTCAAAAATGGTTACAATGATCACCTTCATATCACGGGCGCTCTCCCCAATGAACAAGAAGAGAATACATC